TTCCTCTTTATGAATTAGTTTTGAGTTTGACTTAACTTTTATTAAGTTTTTCATGGAATTAATCATGTTTCTTCCATTGAACAATTGAAATATTGGTTTGAGTTTAAATCTTAAATACTTTATTGGTGTGATTCAATTACTATTATATGTTANGTGATTCAATTACTGCTATATGTTAGAAATATATGGTCGCTTTTTGAATTTAATTTCAATAAACAAAAGTGAGAATTTGAGCTAGGAAATCTAAATTCTAGAATTACATGTGGAATTAAATTGATTTGAATTGCTAAATCTTTCTATTAGAGAGTTGGGATAAAAACTTCTAATTGAGTAGAAAATGCATGAATTATTGATGTTGATTGATCCAATCCAATTGAGGGAATTCCGACGCGTCACTCTTCTATATTTTGATTTTAACCCACTATTTCATCCATTCATATTCACATTTTAATTCAATAAACAAATTCTTTTTCAATCAATTCACGAGAACCCTAAATTATTGAACTCCCTGATTCATTCATCCATCTCCCTGTGGATACAACATCCCAAAACTGCACTACAACTACCACATTATTCTTTGGGTGTAATCACTTCATCTTTCCCAACCTGAGTTTTTGGAGGTGGTTGGGAAGGTCCTGTTTGACTCATGGCATGTTCTCATCTCCTCTCACGCCTATTTCTAGGGGAAGGATTTTGAGGCACATCATTGTAAGCCGGCTCATGTCTTTCAAATCGGGGAAGTTCTTGCTACCTATTTCTAGGCAGTCCTGGGCTCAGCATGTTAAAGACACTTACAGACCTCTGGGACATGTCCTCCGGGTTGTAGTTTTTAGGAAAGTTGCATGGGACCTCAGTGGGTCGGTTAGTGGCATCATTGGTTGATGTAATTAACCATTTGGCTTTGGACCTCCTCTTCATTGTGGTAGTAATTTCCTTGTGAAGGGTCATGCAATGCATTTCCTTGGACTGTATATGGAGGAGCTGGGTATCCTCATGGCCCTATATGCTCCTCAGCAATTCATACATAGCTATGTTCTGTTGGGTTATATATCTAATATTTGAGGTCATTGTGGCCATCTCCCTAGTGAGTCGACAACTATCCTATACCCATTTCATCTGTGAGGTTGGTGAGGTCTTTGGCGAGTAGTTGGGACAGCATGGGAAGGTTCCCCTTCTTCAGGGTGTTCCCAAGCCCTTCGAGGTGCAGATCCTTCATTGTTTGAACTCATGGTGATAAATTTTTTCTAGACAAATGATATTCATTTTTTCAAGGACTAGAGTGGCTTCCAATTGAACGGTTTATCTTGGATTTTCTCAATGGTTCTTTCTTAAAAAACACTCTTTTTTTTTTTTCAAAGGTTTGAAAATCACTTCATTATAAGAGTTGCTTCCAACTGGCTTTTTCCCACAGGATTTTCATGGTTAAATGTATGGTTTTCCACAAACAGTGTCAATCTGTTGACCCCGAAAATGTCACGCTAACGTGGACAATAGATGTCGGGTCCACTCACGCCAACTTAAGCAAGTTCCAGCACGTTTTGACCGGATAACTGTGAGAGAAGGAGAATACGTAAACGCAAGAGATGCATTACGGCGTGAGACAAAAGTGTTTGAATACCGGCGATAGTGACTAAGATAACCGCGCTTACAAATAATCACCGACAAAGTGTAAATAACCTAAGATCAAACTAACAAATATAGAACAAGTAAAAATGTTTCTTGAGAGTATTTGTCTTGAGTGTTTTCTTGTATATTAGAATCAATATTCAAAATGACCATCCAAAGATCCAGAAACCCCCCCGACCATTTACAAAGACTACATATTTATAGTGTTCTGGCCGATGTGGTGTTTGTTGAATCAGAACCGCGTAGCCTCATCTCCTTGACTAAAGCCTCACATCACTAAATCTATCATGCAACAAATACATTGACAATAGGTCAGCCGCCCTATACATTAGACTGATACACCTGACATTTTTTTATTACAAATATTACATCAATCATTCCTAAAGATTGTCTACAAATCTTATAAGAGACATCTTCAATTTAGGTACTTCGTAAGAAATAAGGGCTTCGGTCGGAGGGAGTTTTGTATTAGTTGTCTTCTGTATGAAGAGTTTAGACCTTTTCATTGATTTCTTACGTAGCATTTCAGCTTATAGTTTCAACCATTTAGGCAGTGCTTTGGAGTGTTTATGAGCTCCAACTATACAAGGTGGACTTCTTTGCATTTGACCAATTAGGTCTTTGTTGACTTTCCTTTTCACGTGGACTGCAAGGTGGCACATTGACTGGAACCTCGGTGGCGAGGCGTAACAGATGGTAGCCTCAGTATCTATCACTCATATTACAAAATAATTGCTTTTGCGGTAAACAAATATTTCCAATTTATGCATCACCCTACAACAAATCATTGGAATGCTACTAAAAGTTTATTGCGCTATCTTTGTGAAATTGTTGATCATGAAATTGTTTTTTACAGAAATTCATCACTTTTTCTTCATGCCTTCTCTGGCACTGATTGAGCAAGATATAAGGATGATTTCACTTTCATTAGTGATTAAATTGTATATCTGGGGCAATAGCCTATCTCCTTGAGTTCCAAGAAACAAATCATTGTTGCTCGCTCTTCTACATAGTCGACTATCACTATATCGTTGCAACAAGAATTGAACTTCACTCGATCTGCTCCATGTTCCTCAATCACCAGCCATATTTATGTTAATATCAGTGCTCCCCATCTTCGATCCAATCAAGTTTTGCATTTAAGCACGTCGCAATATACTTTCATTTCATAAGGGAATAGTTCCAAAGCAGTATGCTACAGTCGGCACATGTCTCTTCTAAGGATCAATTAGCGAATGCCCTCACGAAGCCTCTCCCGTGCACAAAATTTCTCAATCTCAAGGATAGGGCTGGAATCTTCACGATTAGCTCCATCTTGGGGTCACATAAAATGAAGTAAATAAATTAGTAAAGTCAATTGTATATTTACACAATTACCGATTAAATGATATATAATTCTTTAAATTTGTATAATAGCAAGATTCTAGGACATTAGCCAAATTTAGACAATTTTAATTTTTAATGGTAAGAGAGTCTCCAATAATGTTTTTGATCACAAAGTACTTCTAAAAAGTTGATACTTAAAAATAAGGACCATGCTACACTTACAAAATATTTTACAAAATGTTTTACCGACGGGCCACTTGGCGCCCCACCATTGGAACTCGAGGAGGAGGAGTGGACTGTGGAGGACTCTTCGTCTGCCTCTGCTCGTGAGCTCCTCTTCCAGAATTTTCTGTTTGCAAATTTTTTTTATGGGTCATTGTCTGGGCCTCTTTTTTGAGGCCCCTTAAAACATGAGGCCCAAGGCAATGGCCTTGTTTGCCTTGGGCCAGGGCCGGCCCTGATTGTTGCTCGCTCTTCTACATAGTCGACTATCACTATATCGTCGCAACAAGAATTGAACTGCACTCGATCTGCTCCATGTTCCTCAATCACCAGCCATATTTATGTTAATATCGGTGCTCCCCATCTTCGATCCAATCAAGTTTTACATTTAAGCACGTCGCAATATACTTTCATTTCATAAGGGAATAGGTTCAAAGCAGTATGCTACAGTCGGCACGTCTCATCTAAGGATCGATTAGCGAATGCCCTCACGAAGCCTCTCCCGTGCACAAAATTTCTCAATCTCAAGGTTTGGACTGGAATCTTCACGATTAGCTCCATCTTGGGGTCACAAAAAATGAAGTAAATAAATTAGTAAAGTCAATTGTATATTTACACAATTACCGATTAAATGATATATAATTATATATAATTCTTTAAATTTGTATAATAGCATGATTCTAGGACATTAGCCAAATTTAGACAATTTCAATTTTTGATGGTAAGAGAGTCTCCAATAATGTTTTTGAACACAAAGTACTTCTTAAAAGTTGATGCTTAAAAAATAAGTTTTTAGAAATATTCTATTTTAATTTTTTATCATAAAGAGTTCATTTGGCTCTCCAAATTTGGAGAGTCAAACTTACTCTCTATTTTTAATTAACAATGATTGTATTTAATAAGTTGTAAATTTCAATACTCTACAATTTATATCATTCAAATCACGTTTGAATTCATTTGCCATTAACCTATATAAAAAATTATGTTAAATAAGAGATGACGAGAAATCAATAAATGTTTATTGAGAAAAAAAATAAAGAGTCAAAATATAGAACATTGTTGGAGTGCATAAATACGAGAAATCAATAAATGTTTACTGAGAAAAACAAAACAAAGAGTCAAAATATAGAGCATTATTGGAGTGTATAAAAAAATTTACTATTTAAATTTAAAAATACTCTCTATTATGTATAAGATGTTCTTTATAAATAGGAATTTTCTTGAGGATACTATGTGCCTGATCAATTAGTTAGTGTGCCATTATTTCAATTCTATTAAAAATCTGGGTGATGAATTTTATATTAAAGTCGTAGAACTTGTTTCTCACCTCTGAACATAAGTTAAAAGAAATATTTATGTGTAAAAAAAAAAAAATTTAAAAATAAATTTCTAGCATAAATCTCCAAATCAATTCTTCGTAAATTCTATAGAGATTTTAGGCATCATGCACTTAGAAATTATTTTCTTGCTATATACATGTATCCGTTATAACATGATATTTTCTTGTTATTGAAATCTTATTATTTAAATAAAAAGTATACTTTATGACGAAGCTTTGAGCTTAATGTAGTGTAAAAATCGAGTTAACCTATGTAACTTATTTACAGTCCTGCTACAATTACATTAATTTTGACAATATTTGAAAGTGTGTTAGGTGGTACCCATTTTTAACGTTAACTTCAACAAAACTTAAAACAATCAACGTGTCAACGAGGCATATTTTTCACGCTTAACCAGAGCACTACAAAAAGTTAAAATCAGTGGGCAGTGAGTAGAATTGCATAAAACTGTCTCGAGCGGGAAAACATCCAGAGAGCATCAAACACATGGTAATAATTCCATCCAGGCGTCATGCGGAAAAGAGGCAACAAGCAAGTCAACAGAATCGCCCACAACAACGTGCTATAAAACTGTGTCTCGCCAAAGCCGGTCTGTTTTGCGATGCAGAGATTTGTAGCCGACGTATCAAGAAATCTCGCTTCTCAAAGAAGAAAATATTTGGCCACTTGCGCGTTGCAGCTTCGCAATTGTTCACTTTTTTTTTTCTCTCGTCTCAATCCCAGTCCTCTGTTATTCCTATTCGTTTCATGAACATCACTAGTTTTGATCCTTCAATGGCTTCTGAGTATTCAGGGACTTCCGTTACCCTTGATACAATCAATCCCAAGGTAAATCAATCCCTTGTTTTTTTTGTTTTTGTTTTTGTTTTTTTTGTTTTTTTTTTTTGATTCGCGTTTTTCTTTATGACTGATCTTTCAGTTTTCTGGGCT